TATCTAATATTTAAGAGTATATCTCATGAAATAATTTAAATTATACAATTAATATAATTTAGATTGTAAAATATTTTTTTTATAAAAAAACATTTAATTTGAATTAACTTTCACCGCCCAAATCTGGTGCGCCAAGTGCCATCACTCTCCCTACGAAATTTTGAAAATTGAACCAACACTCTGCAAAGACGCTCTTTTACTGTTTCTTTTTCCTCACACCTTATCTTTTCTCTTCTCAAAGCTTAATTTAATTCCCTCTTTCACAACACGAAAGTCATCTTTTTGTCTCCCGCCCTCCGAACTTTCAAAACCGTCTTCCACTCAGAAGGAAGGAACCATTATCGCCGGAAATGGGTTGTGTTTCGTCCAACTTGCTCAACCAGGAGGACGAGTTTTCCCAACTCGGTGGTTCCGCATTTGGCCACCACATTGTGTCCCTCACTTCCAGCACCTATGGCCTCCTCACTCTCGATCCGCCGCAGTCTGCAACCACGCCGCCCACTCCTCAGCCCCGCATCACTCTCGTCTCTACCCCCGAGCCCAAATCTCTCTGGTCTGACCCTCGGCCGATGCCGTCCAGGCCGGAGGTAATCAACTCCTGGGAGCTTATGTCCGGCCTTGATGCTGACAGTTTCCGTTTCTCTCCGTTACTAAATAAAGAGAATCACAACCGTATTTTGAGCAAAATCGATGGCGTTTCTAGACCGCCGTTTGCTCGATCTCGATCTTCGCTGCTGGATAAATTCGAGGCTGACAGTTTCCGATTTCCAACTACCGTTACCGACAAAGAAAATGCAAACCCCAATTCGAACAGAAACGGCAACGTTCCGGCACCCTTCTCCCTCTCGCCGCTGGTGGAGAAGTTCGATTCTCAAATCGACAACGTTTCTGGACCGTTACCGGCTAGCAATCCCTCTTCTTCAATACTTGAGAAGTTTGAAAAGTTGTGCCCGCCGAACGGGGAAAACAGAGTCGTGATCTACACTACGACGTTGCGAGGTGTGCGGAAGACCTTCGAGGATTGCAATGCGGTAAGGGCGGCGATAGAGAATTATGGAATCTTGATCTGCGAAAGAGACATATCTATGGATCGCGGATTTAAAGAAGAGCTAAGGGAATTGATGAAAGGGAAAGAGAAGGAAGCAATGAATCCATTCACGCCGCCGCGGGTGTTTGTGAAGGGGAGGTACATTGGCGGAGCAGACGAGGTGATGCGTATTGTGGAGGAAGGGTGGTTCGGAGAATTGCTGAAAGGCCTGCCAAAGAAGAGAGCAGGGGAGGTTTGTGAAGGTTGCGGGGATGTGAAGTTCTTACCGTGTTTACAGTGTAACGGGAGCTGCAAGATGGTTGTAGTTGTGAGCGAGGAGGAGGCGAGAAGAACGGTGGTCGTGAGATGTGATGAGTGCAATGAGAACGGGCTTGTGCTTTGCCCCATTTGTAGCTGAGCTGCCTCGGCCCACTGGTATTTCTGATCTTGTCCTTTAAATGTTTGATGTTATGCCAAAGTGAAATGATGGTCCTGTTTGCTGCAGGATTGGTTAATCTATATAGTGCTATATGTTTTACTTCTTTTCCTGGCATTCTCTTTAGTTTTTCCTTGGTAATTCATAATGCACAGGAATTAGCTGCATAATTGATAATCATTAATTCTCTTCATTTAAATTAGCCTTGTGTTTGTTACTCTAGAGTTGCATTTGATTCAGGCATTGTGTTGAAGAATGCATTTGATCCAAGTAGACTAGACTCGTGAGATGTTACGTGCAGCTAAGCATATACTAATGGAAAATTGAAATGGAGGAGTTTGAAGCCCTTAGGTTGTAGTAGTTGTTAATTGGTAATGTCTCTAAAAAAGTTATAGTCATTGGGTTAATCCTTGTTTAGAGAACTAAAACTTCTAACACTGGGGAAGTGGACTGCTAGTTCACAAAAGAACCTGAATACCTGCATATGTCAGACATATTTGCCAAACTACCTTGTATCTTTAGAAAGATTTCCTGAATCCTTGTCGATGAATTATGTAAAATCAAAGCTTAAGACGTGGTTGCTTCATTTGATTGCTAACTCGTCGATTTTATCATCTATGTAAAAGGAAGAAGGGTTTAAGATGCTTTCCAAACACTATTCTTGGAATGCTTAGCTTATGATACATTGCCTCTAAAATGCCACTTATATCATTTAAAAAGTTGATGGTTTCTGGTGAACTTTAACAAACTTAGCATGTGTGAGAGAACAGCTTGGCCTAGTTGAAAGTTCTATGCATGGAACTTTTGCCCGAGTTCTCTTGTCTAATTCTTATAGTACTAGTGTGCTACAATCAGGTTTAAAAAAGGTTGCCTCTTCTGCAGAAATGGGGACTGACCTTAATTAACAAATAATCTGATAGTATTGTTGTCTGTTATCAGTATTGGTCGTACATGACTTCAACTAGACCGAGCTGCTACCCTGCTCATCTAATCTAGTGCACTAGGGCATGAGGAGGGTTTAAAAGCATTTTGTAGAGGTATTCTACGTGGTGTCAGCCAGCTGAACTTTGTCATTGTATCGTAAAAAGTTCAGGATACAGAGTGGGTCTTTGAAGAACTTAAAAGTAACAGATTGCTAGTTAACTTGGAAAGCATACAAGCCTTGCTAACTTCTACACATGAAGTTGGTAATCACTCATCGGTCATCGCCATTTTCCTTGAATCTTGCATGCATATAATCATAATACGAAAGTTCCTCTTCTACTCTTCACTAAACAGTGGATGTTCTTTGTAAACACTGAAATCATGTTATTAGAAGCATTAACCTGATTACATATCAGAGGAAAGATTGTTTCTTGATAATTCTTGGTTAAGGCAAATTCAGTTGGTTAGAAAAATGCTATGGGCTTTGGGTTGTATAATCACAGGGTTTAGGCCCATAAGATAATATCATGTATGGTAAATATATTAAACTCTTCAAATGTAAACAGAATCTATTCTTCTACCAAATGATTAAAAAATTACACAATACCTTCAAACAACATTCCTTAAAAGAATTGAAAGCTTTGAGGTATTTTGATGATGAAACTTTGTCATAAGATGGGAGTGATGTCAGATTCCAACATTGGACCTACCCACATTGAAAATGTCCATTCCAGAACCAAAACCTGGCCTTGTGCATTGTTTTCTCTTTTTTTGGCCGTTGTCCTTGTTCAATTAAGTCACCCTTGTTAGCATGAAGATGTCGAAAGTAGGTTAGAAAGGAAGTAGTTTTTGGATGTACTGCAAATCACATCAGGTTAGAAAACTCATTTCATATGTCTGTTGTCTAGAAGGCACTGGATCAATTCACAGATGTTACATTTCGTTTGTATCTTTAGTTTTGATTGATTGTCCTTTTTGGTATGGCCCCCACTAAGTTAAATCTAGTCTGATTGATTGTCTTTTTTGGTAGTTGCAAAAAACGTTTAAGTGTGTTTACTGTTAAGGATTAGAGATTATATACATATTATATTAACGTGCTTTTAATTTAGTGGTTAGTTAGGAATTCAAATCGTCCACTGTGTTAATCAAATTGGACAAGACTTTGGGCCTATTATCTGACGTTTGGGCCTATGAGCTGGAAACTTGTAGGAGTAATGATCACTCTTTTAGACAGAAGCTTTTGGGCCTATAAGCTGACATTCTCACCTAAAGTAACCAATCAATCCTGCAAGGTGTGGGGGATTTTTTTCCATGTCGGTATATCTTGGTAAAAGATTTGTTGCGCCCTTGTCTTACATAATTCATGCAGACATTCTAATTCATAGGTGGTGTTGCTATAACTAAGGATATCAAAATTTGAGAGTTAAAGGGTAAATTTGCTTTAACATACGATATAAGTGTTTGTGAGTCGAATTTTAAAAAAATTAGAAAGAAAAATATTTTAAAATTGTATTGTTTTATTAAAGTATTATAAGAAAAAAATTAAAACAAACTTATTTTTTATTTAAAAATAAGTTATTTTGGTTTTTTTTAATAAAAAGTTATTAAAGTAGCATAATTTTGAGGTTTTTTTTTTAATTTTTTAAAATTTTGAGTAATAAATATTTTCTTTAATATATATATATATACATATATACATATTTTATGAGAAATAGAATTTCATTAATACATGATATGAAAATTATAAGGTTTACAAAACCAATTCTAATTGGATAATATGCCATAGGAATTACACTTATAAAATATGTGAAAGCACAAAATCAAATAATTTAATGTTTAAATAAGTATTTTGATCAAACTTGAGCTCAAAATTTAGTAGTTAAGTTGCATTTCAATATATTTTATTTAAATAGAAGATAAATTGGTTGGGACAGAAAAATTTAGTTAGGAACCTTGTCTCTAATTGTGCCATCAATGGTTAAAGTAAACACAATAATTTATTTGAGTTCAACCAATATTAAATTCAAGTTGTCGTCTTCTCCCATAAGAGTAAATCTTAATAACAAATAACAAAAAAATTAAAGTAGAAACTCTCGAAAAAGATAAAAAGACCTCCACAAAAAAGAAAAAATTAAACCTTCACAAGAGAAAGGATAACCACGAAGAGGGAAAAGGTAGCAGCAGCTAAGAGAAAAATGAAAATAAAAAAAAGGGAGAAAACCCTTTTTTTTTTTTTCTAGAACGTTATAAAAACAAACATGTGAATCCAAATTACTAATCATCTATAAGTCAAGTCTAATAACTGCAATTCAACAACAAAGAAAATCAAGTCTTTACAATTAATTATATATTTCTCATAATTAAAATTTGACGAGTCGTCAAATGTACAAGCAGAAATAATCAAATAATTTGATTTAGACACCATTTAAAAGACTAAAATTAAAATAAATTTCGAATATTTCAGACGTCGTACGTCAGCTGTTTAAAAAATATATATATATAGCTCTATTGTCATGGTAGAAGTCAGAGAACTAACTTTCCAGATGGCTGCAAACTACATGTAGAGTGAATGATTTTCACCGTTACCTTTCTTTATATACATGTTGGGGACATTTTCTTTTTTCCAGAATTTCATCCTCTTTTAATTACAATATAATGCAGGAAAAGAAAATCCATATATAGTGACTGCGACATACGACCTAATATACAGTTAACAATTAAGCAGAGGGTTCATTGTGGTCATTTTTTTTTTTTTTTTTGAAGGTTATAAAAATCATATATGTAAGAGGTAATGGGTTTCTACTTGACTAGACAGGGAAATGAGAGTACCCCTTAATCTCGAGCTGGTCCAACTACTACTTTCTTATTTCAACGACAAAATCATGCCTATTGAAGAAATAAAAGTAGGATTGTATAAGATTTGGAGCAAAATTTTAATAATGTCAAGGCCACTAATACTTGAACCATATTGGCATTATCAATGATTTTTTCATAGACGACAAAGAGAGCATAACTAATTCAGAATGGGAAGAGTTATGGTATAGATATAAATATGATCTAAGATTTCTTTTTTAAATATTTATTTTCATCACCAAAGGTTTTTGTTTGGGGCCGTCCACCAAAGTTAAGTTACAACGAAAAACACGCAGAAAAAATTGTTCATAAAAAACTTATTTTATCTAGAATAAATACACAAAAAATTATAATAATGACAACAATGGTCGCATGTGGAATTGTTGGTAGAGCCATCATTGCACCCTCAGTATTTCCATTATCTATTGTTCTTGTTGGTTATCTAAGAGTACTTAATGGAATCCAATGTCGACTCTACTACAAGTAAATATTGTTTTTAGATATAATTTAAGATTTAAGTAATAGTATATTCAAAAAAATTAATTTTTTTAAATATATCAAAATAATATAAAGGTGTATTTCAAAATTATTTTTTTACAAAAATTTGCCTTGCACAAAAACTACTCTAAAGATACCCTAATTTTATCAAAAAGATCTTTGACAATGCAGAGGTAAACTTGATTAAACTTTTTGAACTTATTCAATTAAGGTCTTTTGCTTAGATCAAAGCTAGGAAACCCAAGTGTTACTTCAATCTATCAGACTGGTTAATTAACCCTGCTTCATGCCTTAGTAAAGCAAAGTAGGAAATGTTTGAAAGAGGGTAGTAACACTGAAGGGATTGTAATTTGTACATAGAAATGGGTTTGAGTATCCCTTGTATTCAGGTTATTAATGTGAATTTCTTTGCTGTTCAAAAAAAAGAAGATACCCTAACTTTAAATTAAAAATATTCTTAGTTGAAACTTTTCATCAATTATTATATAGTATAAGAAAAAGTATTGTGTAGATTAAATTATCATATATTATACAATTTAAATCATTAAATAAGATATATTCAAAAAAAATCATTAAATAGGATAACATCCTTAATAAAAGATTATCTTCTTTCATTTAATGATTTTTATTTTATAATTTAACCACTCTCAATAGCGCAATTTGACATGTCTCAACAGCAAAATAATGCATTGATAAAAAATAATAAACAAATTTTAGAGTTGGAGAGAAATTTATTGAATTTAAAAATCCAGTTTTACCTCTTTCTTTTTAGTAAATAATAGTATCTGTTAAAGGAATGAAATTCAAAAACAAATTGAAAAAAAAAAAAACTAAAAGTAACTGGTTTTTTTTTTTTTAATTGTCAATATATTTCATTTTGTTCAGAAACTGTATTTATCAATGGTAAAAACAAGCTTGGTTTGTAACTACTCGTTATTCAGATTTCTTAGCTCAACTGATTTTGATCTTCGCCATCCTAAATACTCCATGAATTCGTTTCACAATTACACTAAAACTATGTATAAAAATGAAGGCATTTTTTTGGTAAAAGAATTGAAACATCACAAATTATTTTGGATTACAATTTAAACCAAATCATTTTTTTGGGGGGGACCAAATCATCTTTATTTAATCAAGTTCTTTCATTGTATACCGTCAATCTTTTGTGTGGGCTCTCCCTTTCTTTCATAGAAAAATAATTACCATACCACACATTTTGATTTGTCATCTTTTTTTATATTTGTTTAGTTCAATCATTAAAATATAATATAAATAAAATTGATTCAATCAATTTTTACATAATCAATTTTTGCAGATCATGTGTATGATTGTATTTTTAAATTTATTTTATTTATTTTTATTTATTTTTAATTTTAAATTAAGAAATAATAATTTTTTAAATAAATATATTGTATAATATGTTTAATCAAAAGGTATACAAATTTGTGTCTGCTTGCATATTAGCTTTCTGATGGAAAAATGCACACTCTGATTCCCAGCTTAATTACACTGCTGGGTTCGAATTCTCCCTTCCACAATATCAAAAAAAAAAGAAAAGAAAATCCCTCTTTCCCAATTAAGGATAACAGGTAAGCAATTGGTACCATTCATGATTCAATCAAAACTTTCTGCTGAAATGAAGCTATTAAAGGGCCCTCTTTCCACTACTCTCTACTCATTACTATTAAGGGGTTGAAATTATTTTCATTAGGATAAGCTGTACGGGTAAAAATAATCAGTAGTTGCAATCACAAAGGTAGGTATTAAGTTGTGTGTACTTTCTATTATATTCATAATGCTTATACTAGCAAGGAAGCTTCATATTAAAACTTGTTTCCCTCATATATCACTTGTAATTGTGTGTACAAATTAACGTAATCATGTTATAGCTAAGCACAAGCTTTTAATACTTTAATTTTGTTCTCTTTCCAATTGTGAGCTTTTCTGATGGAACATGCAATACATTGTGATTTTAACCCCTTCCCTTTCACAGTAATTCTCCAAACTCCATTGCAAAATTAGCTAATTAGATAAGATCTTTCACCTCAGCCCTGCTGCATTTTATTGATGTAATACATATGAAATGCGAACCTTTGTAGAATTATTATGGAAAGGGTTTTAGGGGGTGCGCTTTTACAATCCTCTAGGGAGAGATTAGTCTCAATGAAGTATGCAAAATCAAGTTTGAAGACTCATTGACCGTAAATACTAAAAAAAAGAAAAACTTTGAATACTTCATCAACATTAGTAGTATTCATTAACACATGCCAGCAACTTTTTCTGCAACTTGAGGTTGCCATTTAGTATAACTTAATAAAATTTTGATTAACTTCATTAATACTATAATTAAGAATTAGAATTCCCAATATAAAGCTTTGATGTATAAAGCTGGCCTATTAATTAACTTTACATATATATAAGCTGCAAGTCTGTCCTAATTAATCCCAACCACTGCTGCAAATGCTCATCAATGATGTTGCAATTTGTCGGATTAATGAGCTTCAATTTCGACCACCATCTATCCTTGTATAAAACGTATCCATTCTTTGCAGCACAAATTCAAAGTTTCAAACTCAAATGACTTGGCTGCTCAGTTGTCAACTTTAATGAACTCATCTGCCTCAAATAATACGACTAGGTCAATTTAGAAAAGAGAGAAGTCTCGATTGTTCATCTGATAATAAACTAGTACACATCAAAGAAGGCAAAAGAACCGTCGATTCAACTTAATTTCGAGCATGTTGAAAGCATGGGGATCTCACATTTTGAATCTAACAAGCTAATAACGTACGTATAGTATAAGCAACGTGGGGACAAGTATAAACATCACACGCTAGCTAGTGAATTAATTAATTCTCTAATCTCGACATTAATTACTTGTATGTTTGCACAAGAAAAATAAATTTATTCATTGTCACGCTTAATTTGTTAGCATGACACTAGAACTGATGTCATATTAACGAGACATTCTCAATTTGATCATTACTAGCTAATTTAACCAAATTCATTATCCTGTTTGAAAGAGAGAGATAATTGGTTTGTTTTTGGTTATTTCTGCGCTTATACACTCCACACATCAAACAAATATATTGTCTTGGATGTAACTCTACCTATTAGTCAAATTAACAGTTACACGTTAAACCTCTTTGTCAAATTTGGAAAAATTCATTCTCAGAATGGTGCTGCTTGTAATTATGCTTTTTAATTGAGTCTTAATTATCTGCCTATATGTATCCTTTTCACTCTTTTGCATCATTGTTAAGAATACGACGTCTAAAACAACAGCGATCATACATGTGCACAATACAAAAGAATAGTATTTAATCCTTGTATTGCATGTGTTAATTAACCTATATAGCTTAACCCGGGGTTAAGAGTACTCTTTAGTTGACAATGATGTCTTAGTTAGATTCTAATTTTAATCTGAATGTTCATAGATGCATGTTTTCTTCTTTTTACTCCACAGATAAAAAGCAGCGACCTACAAAAATGTGCATATATATATGTATGTGTTCATGCTTAATGTCTCTTTTTTAATTAGTGTAAGATATGCTCCAATCCATATAACTTCTAAATTAAATTTCTTCCTCCATTTGTTGAATATTGCTTAATAAGAGATAACTCTCTTGTAACATACTTCACTTAATTGCATTTAAAAGGAATCTCCAATTTCCATTGCAAGGAAATTACCCACACATGAACTTCATGATAAGGTGAGATCACAAATTAAACGTACATACAAGAGAATCCAATCAACTTGCAGAAGTACTCTCAATGATAGATTATTATATCTTTCTTTTCTTGAAGATGTGTGATAGAGAAAAAGAAAGGGAAAGAGAATTCCATTATTTTCTCTTATTTCTAACGAATTATAAAGAAAAAAAGATAGAAAGAAAGAAAAAGTGTGCGATCAAGTTCCCACCAACACGGGGTGGTGCTAGGACAAGACAAAAGTGCTACAGTTGGTCTTCCACATTGGTGTGTAATATCTTTATCTAATGTCTAAAAGGTGGTTACCTTTCTTCTATCTTTACAGGCACGTACATTAGGTGCGTTTCAATCTTTTCCTCAACACCACCATAACAGATTGATTTCTTTACCAATGCTATCCAACCAAATGGATTTCACCTTTCCAAAGTCAGCATACTGCCATAATTATCATGTCAAGCTTTTTCAAGATACTTAACGAATTAGGGCAAGACCCTAAGCCTCATCCACATGATTACATGTAACAAAATGTGAAAAGATCAAACACAGGTATATACGAATAAACTTTAATGTATATAATGCTTGTCAATGCATGCCACCCCCACTCATATTTCGACCCTCATTTATTTATGCATTACATGTATAGTTATGTATGTGATTTGCCTATATCTGACGGCATATACCTAGACTTCAGAGCTTATGTATGATCATGATGTGTTCCGATCGTAGTTCAGTTATACCGACAAATGGCATAATGGATCCGATGATGATGATGGTGATGGTGATGACTTGGGGAAACTCCATAGATCATTCTCACTGCTATAGACTTGGGCGGTTGGATTTGATCTGTGCAAATTTAGGTGAGATAAATGTACATCGTCTTCATGACAAGGACTGAAAACCGCATTTGGGTAGCCAAAACAGGGCAGTTGCTTCAGTGTCTCTACTTCATTAGTGCCATTAAGTTGGGATGCCACCAGCCTGTCAAGAGCGACCCAGTCATTAAGACCAGTACTTTTGGTCTTGTTGTTATGACCTGAAGCAGCATGGCAGCCACCGCCTTGGTTAACGGAAGACAGTGGTTCTGTCTCTGGCAGCATCTCGTCGATGGATTGGTAGCAGGGAAGACAAGGAAGAGTGGGGCTCTCCAGCCGTGGGAGGTGCATGAATCTTTCGTGCAACCCTTCCCCTGTTCCTTCCCCACTGGGGGCAAGCATTCGCATGTTGGTGCTGTTGGAGATGTTCATGTTGCTAAACGATTCGTTTTCTGTTTTGCAAGTCCTTCCCATGTAATGAAGAATTTGATCCAGAACCCCATCATTATCTGAGCAAAGCATCTTTGAATCTATGGAAGTGAAAGGTGATGAGCTTTTAGGACTTTCTAGGGTTTTCTGATAATTCTTCTTTCTGAAGACTCGGCAAACCACCCAGCCATCTTCTGGCATTGAATCTCCCATCGAGTTTGGTACCTGGACCGACATAATTTAATTTAACATAAAAAGTAAAAGAAACCAAACTATGGAGCAATATGGATATTTTTGAATTTCTAGAACAATTGAGGGAAGAAAAGCCTACATTAGTGTCACTGGTGTTATCATCAAGCCTGTATTCATGCATAATCCAATCTGATTTTTGTCCATGTGGAGCTCTTCCTTTATAGAACACCAAAGTCTTCCTTAATCCAATTCTTCTGACGCCGCTATAGATGATCTTATCACGGCCGGTCGCCTTCCAAAATCCAGCTGCTGTTGCCCGGTTAGTTCTGGTTCCGGTAGGATACTTCTTGTCCTTGTGACTGAAGAAGTACCAATCATTCTGAGGAGTGGATCCTATTTTGCATTTCTCTACAATCAAATTAAAGCCAAAACATTCATAATTTAATCATATAAAACTTTCTCCACACATTATATATTGGGAAATTAATTAAAGAAAAAGCTTAGAACACATCCGTACCTTGTATATCCCATGGCTCAAGCTTGTTAAGATCAACTTCGCGAATAACATCAAGGTCAATTTTTTCATAGGCAACTTTCTTCCTGAGGTAGTAGTGAAGAAGCTCCTCTTCGGTGGGATGAAATCGAAAACCAGGAGGAACCTGAGACTGGCCATTTATGGAGAGATTCATATCTTCTGATGACATTAGCTGCTATTCCAACAAGGAAATAGCCAGGGGAGGATATACTGGTGTTTTCTTAAAACTAAGAAAGAAAGGAAGGAAAAGAAAGGTGGAAGGAATAACAGAAAGAAAGAGAACAAGGGAGAGTGGGTGGGCGTAAAGGGTTATGCAGTGATGATAATTTATAATGGTGGTAGGGCACGAATGGTCCAAAAATGCATGAAAAGTTTTGGTATGATGGACAATTAGTGTACTTAGCGTGGGGTCATTTGGCCTTGAGAAGAGCCAACCACCTAAAAACTAGAGACCCAAATATGTATACACAGAAAAATTAAAAAGAAAAAAAAAAAGTTGTGAAGAAATTGAATGTGGGGTCAAGCCAAAAGGAATGCGTTAGAGGTGCAAGCGGGGGGAACGCCTCCATCTCAACTATGACCCTCGACCTTAATATCTATTTGAAAAGCACCTCCAAAACCACCTCAAACATCACTCGTTTTACTTGTGCAACCACCTCAACGACAAGAGGGCAAGAGAGAGATTATGGGGTCGGAGGCACTTCGCTTTCATGGTCCCCTGCACCATGGAAAACACATCATAGCCTTTTGTAGCGACTACCCGCACTTTTTTTTTACTTTTTCTTCATTTTCTGTATGGCACTGTAGGCTCTTTGTAATACGTGAAACTGAATTTCTGTATTAACAATTTCTACTTTATACCATTTGAATATGAGAGTTGTTAGGTTAACAAAGACTGGGTTTGTGTTTAATAATTATATTCTTTCTTAAAATAAGAAATTTTAGATTCAAGTTTATAGAAATGAAATTGGAAATGCCACGTGTTATACTCTTCTGGAAAATGGCTAGACTTTGAACAATGCTGCTGGTATACCTAGAGGCCAATTCAATCTCTCTGCCGCCCATGCATCATATGTGTGTAATTTCCTATCCTTGAATTCATTAGTAAGCAAAATATATTTTGTACACTAGGTTCAACATTCGAGTCCTCTTAGGATCAATACTAAAAAAAAAAAAATTAGTGTTTCTAAATATACTGATTTGATATTAGAAATGCATTTTTAAAATTAAAGATTAATCTCAAATTACATAAAAATTAAGAAAAATACTTGACCTTTCTAAATTGAAAGAAGAAAAAAATGCATGTAATTTCCTTTCCTATAATTTATAATTCCATGATTTCCTTGATTTTACATGGCAACCGCTAAATCTTTCATTTGAAAATCGAAGAGAACCCAGATCCTTTCCTTTAAGGTGTAATAATCGAACTGGAAAAATTAAAAACATGTGCATATAGTGTCCAGTAAATGGAAAAGGATCACTACCGCCATTATTTTGTAGACATAAAGTCTGACCACGCATGGGTTGATAGCTCTGTAGTTCGTAGGTGAGCCTGAATTCATCATCAATAAATATTTGGGGTAAATTAATGACAAACAAACAGCTTTTAATTTTCTTTTCTGCTCCGCACGAACGGTCCAATAGTTTTATTCAAGGTGGTCAAAATTCTGCTGGAGGTAAAAGCTCAAATTTTAGGATGGACTTAGAGAGATAGAAAAAGACTTTTCTAGTACCGACCTAAGACTAGCTATAGCATTTCCAAAAATGTGTTACGTTTTTTCTTACCTAACGATGGTGGGCTATACAATATTATATATGAGATAGATTGCATTCTCATTTTAAAATTTTTTTTACTTGATTTTAAAATTTAAATTTAGGGGACAAAAAATGTTTTGAGTTTGAGAAGAGTAATGATATTCAGTCAATGGAGGTTAGTTCAAGTTGTAAGGCACTGTAGATGTAAATCATGCTGAAAATCTATATTCGAATCATTTCAATATTAGTTTAGTGCAAACAATTTTAATAAGGTTATATTCATTAATTTTTTAAGACAGAATCTTATTAAAAGTGGTTTTATGGTTACCTGTAAATTTAATTAAGTCAAAAGTCCAGATATAGATCATGCAATTATAGAAAAATTAAAACAATCAATTAAATAATTAAAATTTTAAAAAAGAATTCATAAATTTATCAAATTTAGAAGTTTAGTTGAAAATTTTTAATCCAAAATTAAGCTTTATGTTTGGCGCTTAAGTTTCATCATTTTAAAGGCTAACTAAAATTAATCAACTTGCCCAATCAACTTTTAAAAACTACATTTGACTTAGTTTCTACTTTTTGAAGAGAAGCAAGTTAATTTTGAGAAAACTAGTGCCATAAACCAATGAAGTGGTTTTTCCAAAGAACCAACTATTACTAATTAAGTTGGCAACAAACTAGACAATAAGTCTTGGCTAGACCAATGATTGCTCAAAGTCCTGCTTGCTTTTAGCTAAAGGAGTACGCAGTAATATTCGAAAATGGGTTTCTCTCACTTTTTACATTTAATTCTACGTAAAATCACAAAGTTGGCTTTATTTTTATCATTAGTTTTACATAAAAACTTTTAATTGAACCATTGATAAAATTAAAGAAAATTATTTATTTTTAATAAAAATTAATTATACAAAGATACGATTAATACTCCATTAGTGTATAATTTAAAAAAACCTTTCAAATATACTGGCCCAAGCCTTAATTTTTATTGGGTTTTTTTTTTAAATGTAATAAATGCACTTTTTTTTCACTGTTAATTCATATAAAAAAATGGACTTTAATCACTTGCTATTATTATTTTTTTCAAGCGTGTCGAGCATGAAGTTATATTAGATTTCTGTAGTAGATGATGGGCCCAAATTGGACAACGAATGACACTAACAGGGAAAAGAAGCATAGGACGGTTTATAATGTGTTAGGGGAGAAAAGGTAAAAATAATGATGTGAATTTTGTATTTTTTATTTAAGAATATTAATTTTATTAATTTTTTAATAAAAATGTGAACTTTTATTTTTTTATTTAATAATTTTTTATTTATAAATAGTAACTTTTAATTTTTTATTTAA